TGTTACACCAACGTTAAGAGAAACTGCTTCATAGAATTCCCACTACCTCACCATAAACCTGTCTACATCTGTTTACAAATTCAGAAAGTAATGAAATAATAGTATCCCAAAATTATATTGCATCAACTACTGGAAAGAATCTCTAAACATAACTTTCAGATTTAGATTAACATAACTTTCAGATTATATCTGCTAGCAGATACTTATTCACACACAAAAGTGTGCTTTTCTTCCCTTTCTTTTTGGGTTTTCTCCAGAGAACCCCTATTGTATATTTCTACTGTTTATTGTATACACCAGCTGCGTATCGGCTGCCAGATGTTGTCTCAGAAATGTCATCTGCTGCTTGAAGAGGGGAATGAATGCTGTTAAAGATGCCCTCTTGACAGCTTTATACTTACGGTGGCAACGTTTACATTTTTAATCAGGCAGGTAACCCAAAACCTGACACATTTTGGATTGTTCCTGAAAACTGGACCACTACACTACATTAATATCTTCCTTTATTGATGTGTGGACAGAAGTTCAAATGGATTGACTGCTTTTTGTAAAGTATCTGGAACTACTTCCTGAAACATACTCCGCAACCAGTAGCCGTAAGGAGACCTGCTTTTAAAGATGGTAAGGAATGCTATTGCTTTAAAGAAGTTCATTGCTTTTATGCTGAAATATTGGAATACATAAGTATGGAAAATATATAAAATAAAGGGCCTGAATACTACTTTCACTACTTTTGTGATTTGTTCTCCATTACTGAATTTCTATCTATCAATTTCTACTGGCATGTCAAATGCCTTTTCAAATAAACTGTATTAAATCAACTTACAAATTATAAATTAAAACCTTTGGATACAAGCAACATGTGTCTAGTACATTTAGTAGTAGAACTGCTCTGTATGAATTAGTTTCATGCAGTCATAAGAAGAAAAAAAACACACCCAAAGCACTGCAAGTTCAAACTAAATGTAGTCAATTCCTAGGGCTACAGTATGAGATAGTTCCCGACATCAGGTTCATTTTGGATACGCAGTATTTACTTAAATCTAAGATGACTTTCTTCTTCTGTTTAACAAATTACAAATCCAAGAGTGGTCTGTGTTTGTTCATCCAGCATAGACTTCTTTGAACCACCTTACCTCTATCCTGCATATGCATTTTACTACAGTCCATCTTACACAGGTTGTAAGTGAACAAGTTAGGTATGTTAGATTCTGCACGCTGGCTTCCTCCGTGCATTTTCTATAGTATAATTTAAAATATCTTACTGAAAAATGCCTGTAATACTGTATCCACGTACCAGAAAAGTGTAGTTACTCTTTACAGCAACTTAGTTCTACTTGGCTGTTTAGGACAGGGATTAAAAATATTAATAGAAGCTGCAGAAATAATTTGGGATAAAGGAATTTACTAGGCCAAGAAGCTGAATCTTTATGCTTGTGAAAAATACCATGGGCCCAATGTAATTATAACTCCTCATTTTCTCTTGAAAATATCGTGTTTCAAAAGAAATGCTGGGTTTTTCAGTATCCCAGAGGATGTTAAAATACACTATAGAACACGATATTTGGAATGACAGACATATCCTCTTTACGTAAAAGCGATCATAAATTATTTTTTTTCTCAGTGTCAGTGGGATAATCTTAGTCTCAGGTTTATCTTGCATTTGGATAAATATGAAACACACTTAGAATGTGGACAGTAATGCCCTATCTCCTGTAACCATTTGCCAATCAACTCTGGAAGGTATGAGGCTCATGTAATACTTACAGAAGGTATTAGTGCCTACAAACCAGCAACGTTATCAGTACCTTGTCTCTGATAAGAACTTCCTCCATTTAAAGCCTGCCCTCTCGATTTTATCCTATATGTATGTCTGTTTCAAAGAGTATTAAAAAATGAAAACACAAGGGTCATCAAGAATCCGAGAGCCAAGATATGATAGTTAATTATCTCCCTTGCGAGATATTGTGAAAAAGGATAAATCAATAAAGAAAATGTTATAACTAGCTGAAAAGAAAATACAGTCCTGGAGTGACCTATATTTTTAATTAACTTTCTAGAGATTATATGCATATGATCACATGTGTTTGATACGATCCACATTTGACTGGGATGACAGAGTCATCCTATCCAGATCCAATATACACTGGAAAGTAGGGGAAGGCTCAGAAAATGGTTTATTCTGTTCTACTCAATTAGCATTCACTCTTGAGCTCTGCTCTACATACCTTCACTAATTCAACGATCTGTTCCTCAGGCTGAGGTTCCATCATTTTTGCTACTAGATATAGAGAGCACCAAACCTGGCAGAACTTCCATGGGAGAGTGGTGTGGTATAGCTGAAGAGTGTGTGTATTCATTGCAGAATATCTGCAAAATGTTATCACCTTTTCCTAGAGTCAGAAACATATACCTGGTCAGGCCTTTCTCAGCTACAGGATCTTGACATCCTGACTAGATTCATCTCGACCTTTATGCATTCATTTCAGATTCACTTTCTCATTTCATGCTGTTAAGTGAACACTTCACTCCCTGTACCCACCACTCCCTGGGTAATTTGCTGTGTTACATCTGTCAGGGAGCCACTGTGGTGCATTTCTCTGTCTCTGCAGTGTTAATGAGGAATATGGTTTTGAAACCGCAGTGTGAACAGCTCTGTAAGTTTTCCTCTCTGTCACTGATTTCACATTAAACAGACTGGACTAATGTAATTGAATGTCAACATATGAACAGCCAGTAGCCAAAGGAGAATGAACCAATAGCCACACAAAATTCCTGAAAGGTAAAAAATTTATTTCAGTGCATTGGTTACAGCCTGTTGCCTCTGTATAAGTTCTGTGGCCAAAGCCACAGACAATTCTCTCGTTTTATTCAGGAACAAATTTTACCCAGTGGAAGCAATATATTATATATTAGAATAAACAAGAAAATAGAGCTGCTGTTAAAATCTTCCAGAACTGAAACTCAGTATGATGCATAGTCTCACCAAAAGGAGTTATAAAATAATGAGAAATAATCTAGACATTAACTGATCACACTGCTTGATTTAAACCTAAGTGTTAATGCAGCACAGTTGTTACTCTATGGAAACAGGAGAAAGTGTGCCAAGAATATCCTTACTGCTTTCAGGATTATAATTCAATTTGGAAACTAACATGATCATAAAATATACATGCTAGGGTTTAATATTTGGTCAGAGTCATATGTTAAAAAAAGATTGGTGCCCTAGATTTTAAAAACATTAGCCCAAATCATGCCACACAACCTCATTTTGATCATTCTGAGTTTAGAAAATGTACAATTACTACTGCTGGCAAGAAGTCACACCAAGGCCAAATGAGACTAATAAGAAATGAAACCTCATGTAAGTAATATAATAGAAACTGAAATGAATAATCAAACAGGCAGAACATTCATGCAGCCTAGGCAGCAAAGTCCAAATAAATGGGCTTTAAAGCCACAAGAAAACATTACAGTAAGCACTTAAATTATCAGTTTGAAAGTTTTCTGTGCAGAATGTTGCAATAAGTTTCATAATTCTTAAAATATAAAGTGATTTCATAGCTTTCACTGCTGACCTTAGCACAGTAATAAAACTGCAAAAATCATGAGGTAGAAAAAGGTTGGTTCAAATCTATTGGGTAGATGTATTTATAGGGAGGATTCATTCCACATTAATTTCCTACATTGTCCAAACTTCAGACTTCTTAAGTGTCTCTCCTGGTGGAAGTAGGGCAGAATTCTAGGATGGGAAGCTGAACACCTGCAGTAACACTCTTATGTTTTTGGATGTTGGGTTACAAACCTTACATACAGTGGTATATTTATGGGAAACATGTAATAAATGAATAATGGCTGCCATTGAAAACATCCATCATCTACTGCAGCACTAAAGATGCTAACTTCCAGGTTATCTGAAGGAATAGTTTATGGTAAATAATTGATATAATAGTGATACACTCTTACAACCACCAGTACTCACTCTCATTCAAAATCACTCAAAGAAAGGAAACATTTTAATTTTTCTGGAGAGAAACAGCTTCTGTTTTTTCCTCCAAAGAAGTGTGCCTTTCAAGTACACAGGCAGAATATCTGCACGTGTACCAAGAATTCAGTGAAAGGAAGGGAAATGCAGAGCACCTACCCAATTGACCAAAGCCTGTAACCTGAAGATGCCTCCACTGTTTCCATCAGTGGCAGCATGAGTGTGAGTCAATCAAGCATAAGTAAAGACAAATATTCAGCAATATCTATTCCGAATAGAAGTGAGGCTTAAGCCCTGTCTAAGTACACTTATGAAAATTTGAGAAAAAGCACAGACTAGGAAAAAGAGATGGCCTCTTTAAGCCTTGCTCCTGTTACCTATTATATAAATACATTTTTAGATATTTTACTTCCATTTTTACACTCTTATCCAGAAAAGAAGTACTGTGTTAGAGCTAATAAATATATATATTTTGTATGTACTGTCCAATTATTTTAATTTGTAGGATCAAGACAGAAGAAGAGACTTTAGGTTATTTTCAAACTACCAAAATACCACTCAAGTCCCTATGCTTAAACTGACAAGAAAAGGAAGGCAGGGGTCTAGTTAGGTCTCTTGAAAGAGTACCAAGAGCCACAGCAAACAGCAGAGCAGGGAGCCAAAAGTAAATGAAGAAACACGGATTGTACTCAGCAGAATTTAGGCCATCCAAGCCCAGAACCTGTTTTCTCTGTTGCACAGCACAGTGGATGAAATTCTGTGGCCTATTTGTGCATAAGGTTGAAAAATATGACTGTAATGGCCTGGTTTTGGCTTTCAATGCATGTGTCTGATTTTCCTTTAGGCTATGCTTTCCCACTGCTCTGGCAATAAATAACCTATATTTAGGCATGCTTAAAAGCATTTTTCCACTGCTACAAGAGTAAAGGGGTTTCAGAGTAAATAAAACTCATGCTTTCAGATTCTACACAGCTGTAAACGTTGAAAGTGGTTTTTTTCAAGGAAGCTCTCTTACCTCTTTTTCCATTTGAAGTCCTTCTGCTCTGATATTTCTCTCAAATACTTCCCTCTTTTCTGTTTGTGGGTTGGATTTTCTATACACCAAGATGTAGTCAATCCGACATTTTCCATCTCTAAAATACAGTCCATTGGTTTTGTTCTTATCAGGTACCTCCTGTTAAGAGAAAGTCAAACATTCCAGTGGTATTGATATGCCTTACTAATTGCTGCATTGCTATTTACATCATCAGTTTTCAGTAACATTCAACAGGAAAGATGAGGGATCAGAAGAAGCTGTTCAAATTTTTATGTGCTGCACACGCAGTGCCTCTTGAGGTCACATAAGAGGAATACAGATTTCCACAATGCAAAACCAGGAGATCTTCTTAGGCAAATGTTTGGTCATACAGGCATGGGACTGGAGAGAATAGAGGACACAAGCAAAACTCTTTTCCCCCCACTCCCTCTTAACATTAGGAATAACTTCTAACACATAAAATAAAACAGAGATAGTGTTACTGAAATGTAAATTTAAAATTAAGAACTCAGTATGGTAGCATGCCTTTGTACATGTGAGAAAAATAAACAATGACGTGATCATTTACTGTAGCAAGAAACAGTGAAACCTGGTGCAGAGATTCTCATTGCTTTGCTATGACCCTAGTACTTCTCTCAGAGGACACAGATAATATGGCCTTTTACCTACCCCATCACACCTCATCAGACTAATTACAGATTATTCTTTGTTTCAGCAACAGCTGAGGAAACCCACTGAGTTTATCTGAAAATAATTCCTGTTGTTTGGTCTAGCAGTACATAAATGCAATAAATACAGTTGCTTGGCTATTTCCTGTGAAGAACATGCCTGTTCAAATGTTTACTCTGACAGAAAGAATTTGATTTCACTGTTAATAAGAGGTCAAGCAGGTTCCTCTCCTGAGTTCTAAAAGACCAAACTGCTGGCCTTTTTTTCCCAGAAATTCATGAGATGAAGCCCTCTGTAGATCCTCCTTAGAGTTTAACACTACTTCCACATAATACAAGTCCTGCCCAGGGGTTAAGCTTTCACTTTCAGACAAGTTCAAATTGTATGGCAGTTTGTGGGTTGCAGTGTTTTGTACAAAAATCGTACATTGTGAATCACTCCCTCAGAATAGTACAATGTGCAGTGATTGTCAGGGACCTCAAGATAAGTCCAGCTCCAAGATGAAGAGAGGATTAGGTTCATTTTTCTCTGTTTTTTCCTGAATTTACTAACCAGAAGCAGGCATGCCAGATAACATATAACCAAATCCCTGAAAAAACAATAAAAAATAGTATTTTGCCTTTCACATCTGGGAAAAGTAGAAATTTTTCAAAATACTTCCTCCATAGGAGGACTGCTTCTGAATTTAAATAGCAAAAAGTGAACAGAGAAATAGCACAAATGATTCTTACAGAAAAAAAACACCAGCATTCCCATTCAAAGAATTTAGTGTTAGCTATCTTCCTGGCTCTCAGCAGGCATTTTTATTAAATAGAAAACCCACTGAAAGCATCCCAAATATCCCACCAACTTGGTGCATCCAGTTTACTGAGGGTAGAAAAGAGAATTGTTCTTAGATGCCTTTATTAGAGTGCTTGACTCCTGACACAGCTTAATGCAGACTTGATATAGTAGAACAGTTCTTTGAGCTGAAAAAGAAGGCAAGAGAAAAGATTCAAGCCCTAAGGAAATAACAGTAACTAACCGTTTATATCTATACTGCATATCATGCTGACAAATTATATCAACAAGGTATGAGCAGGATTTTTCACAAAGCATTAAATATGAAAAGAGATCAGGAAGAACAGTTTATTTGTTTCCATTAAAAAAATCTGTGTTGAGAAGATGTAAAAAATTCCAAAAGTATATTTAAGTTTGTTTAAATAAAGGAAAGTGCAGTAGGATATTTAGAGGCAATGTGTCAGCTTGGTGGTCCTGCTCTGAATTCTAAGGTTCCTGATGAGCCATCCTTCCTGTTCTGTAGGTCTCAGAATCACTATGTGTATTTTAGCAAGTAAAGTGGTGTAACAGGAAAGGATCTGCAGAACAAAGCAATCTGTGCTGAGGATCTGCTGTCCACACTAGTTAGGTTGGAGGGTTTACTTTGGGCCCACTCCAGCCTGGCTCAGGAAACTCAGTGGACTACATCTCAAAATTTATCTGGATCCAGAATGAATCCAGGTTTAAAATGCAACACTGCTCTGGAATACAAACAAAGCATGGTAAGGACAATTGAGAGATTCACTTCAACTGTAAACTCTTATCAGAACTAAAATGTTAGCACAGACACATACCACAAGGAACGTGTCTTTTTCTGCATGTAGTAGTGACTCCACTGGAAAAACAGATTTGCCCTTTACGCTTCCTATGTTTCTTCTTTCTCTAAAGAAAATTAGTTTGTCCTACATTGACTCATCATGAATGTATATATTAAAGATTATGAGATTTAGTTATTTGACTTGTAGGACTTCTTTCCCTATAAATATAAATTCCTGAGACAATTTTTCTTGGACTTGTGAAACACTCCCAACTACAGTACTGTAATTTTTCTCTCAGAAAGGCAACTTGGACACCCTTATCTGTGCTTGGAGGTAATTTTTGTTTTAGGAGCACAGTGTGTCAAATCCAGACTCATGAACTCACTTAGACTGGTATGGTCTCTGAGAAGGAACCCTTTCTGTTGCCCTATAAGGCAGTTTTATAGACTGAGACTAGACTTATTAGAACTTTGAAGGTCTAACCTGGTATGGAGGCAGTCAGGGCTGGCCCAGCAGTGTCAGGAAATAGCAGCTGCAGGGCTTTTGCATTGTCCATAGTGTTGCAGACTTAGACTATTCTAGATAGACTCTTCTCCTACCTTGAGCTTCGCTGGACCTTCTCCAGTCATTGCATCACCTTTCCCTGTGTTGTGACTTCAAAATTCAGTTTTCCTAAGTGAATTTAAAAAATGTATCTAGAATATGGTCTGACTGCAGTTTTTAGTGGGAAAGTAGTCTAGTCACATACGTCAAATCTCCATTACTTCATCTGAAAAAGGATGCCAGAAGAAAATGGAAGAACAGGGAAGACTTTAGCAAGAAGTTTAGCATTTCCGGTTTTCTTTACAGCTTTATTTGTAATTAATTTGTAATTGTATAATTAGGAATTATTTTCCAAGGAACGCAGTAGTTTTCATATTCTCAGATCCACAATTGGGAGCTATCAACATTCATACACAGACGACTCATACACATACAGATGCCAGGAGATCTTTACGCTAAAGGGCTTACCCAATGTTTCACAATCCAAAATGAGAGGATTTATAAACTTAACAGCTGGAACTTTGAAACGAAAGTGCAGTTAGGGAAATCAAGAAAATTTCAAACTTCACCTGCGAGTCTTTAAAAAACAGATCAGAAGAGACTCTAATGTTCACTAATTTAATGACAGATTAGATTCCTTCTTCATTCCCAATTGTTTTGGTATCTGGTTACTGTCAGTGTGGATGCTCAATGAAGATAGCATCTTTGAATTCCAAAGTGATATTTTTTCCTGTTTTTTGCGCCTACCTGAGATTAGAATGCCATGCATTTTAACCAATGCACACAAAGTGAAATGGATTTTTGATTTGTTCAGACTGTAGATGTGTTTGAATGAAACACAGAGCAAAAAAGTGGGTGTGGTTTATCTGGACTTCAGTACAGCATTTGACACCATCTCCCACAGCATCCTCGTAGCTAAACTGAGAAAGTGTGGTCTGGATGACCGAGTAGTGAAGTGGATCATGAACTGGTTGAATGAAAGAAGTCAGAAAGTTGTGGTCAATGGGGCAGAGTCTAGTTGGAGGCCTGTATCTAGTGGAGTCCCTCAAGGGTCAGTACTGGGACCAATGCTGTTCAATATATTCATCAATGACCTGGACTAGGAAATAGAGTGTACCATCAGCAAGTTTGCTGATGACACAAAACCGGTAGGAGTGGCTGATGCACCAGAATTCTGTGCAGCCATTCAGCGAGACCTGGGTAGGCTGGAGAGTTGGGCAGGGAGAAATTTTATAAAATATGACAAGGGCAAGTGTAGAGTCCTGCATCTGTGAAAGAACAACCCCAGGTACCAGTATAGGTTGGGGTCTGATGTGTTGGAGAGCAGCGTAGGAGAAAGGGACCTGGGAGTTCCAGTGGACAGCAGAATGGCCATGAACAAGCAATATGCCCTTGTGGCCAAGAAGGCCAATGGCATCCTGGGGTGGATTAGCAGGGGTGTGGCCAGTAGGTCCAGAGAGGTTCTCCTCCCCCTCTACTCTGCCCTGGTGAGGCCACGTCTGGAATACTGCGTACAGTTCTGGGCCCTTCAGCTCAAGAGAGACAGGGAACTGCTTGAGAGAGTCCAGCGCAGAGCCACAGACATGATGAACAGAGATGAACATAGTTGAACATCTCCCTTATGTGGAGAGGCTGAAGGAGCTGGGTCTCTTTAGCTTGGAGAACCGGAGACTGAGGGGTGTCCTTATTAATATTTTTAAAAATGTAAAGGGTGAGTGTCAGGAGGATGGAGCCAGGATCTTCTCAGTGATGTCCAATAATAGGAAAAGAGGCAACGGATGCAAGCTGGAGCATAGGAGGTTCCACATAAACATTAGGAAAAACTTTTTCACTGTGAGGGTGACAGAGCCCTGGCATAGGCTGCCCAGGGAGGTTGTGGAGTCTCGTTCTTTGGAGACATTCAAAACCTGCCTGAATGCACTCTCCTGTGACCTGCTCTAGGTGATTCTGCTTTGGAAGGTGGGTTGGACTAGATCTTTTGAGATCCCTTCCAACCCCATGACATTCTGTGATTCTGTGAAAAAACCCCTCACCTTTAGCCAAAAGACAAGCCGAAACCCAATCTGGCTCTGCATCTGTTAAGGAACTGTTGATAAAACTTCATCCATAAAAATTTTAATTGAATCTTGTTTCCATTTGGGCACAAACAACCAACAGTTGAAGCAAACAATATTTCAACATGCCAGCTAAAGGAAAGTGCTAAGAAACCTTTTGTACATGCTTGAAATTTTTTTGATTGCGAATTCATTTTAATGTGTTCAGCCAGAAAACACATTCAATTATTTTGCTGCAATGTTAACTTCAAAATTAAACCAAACAAATATCAGCATATTCAGAGAGATTTTTACTGGTGCCAGATCCCCTGTCCTTATGACATTAAGATGAATCTACAGGCGCTCTCAGCTACTAAACTAAATTGAAAGGCTGAAAGGAAGCTTGAAGCGTTGGAGCTCACCTCACTACTTTGTAGTTGTGCTCCCATATTTATCCATACAAACTATAAATCTAAACAATGTATCTTTTCCTTCTGGAATTAAGCAGAGGCCAAGTACTTTGAAATTTTTTTTTGTAGGCTACAGCATCCCTCAGCTCCCATTAAGACTTTCAATTTTCTGTTCTTTACATATACATGACCTACATTGCTATTTTCCTCAGTTACATTTACAAAAAAAACCAACAAGATAATCTGTTCAAACAGGAAAATATTTCTCAGGTGTTTTACCTTTCCCTTTCAAAAACAATGAAGAATACATCGAAGAGTAAAAGAAAGGTTTTATTGTTTTTTTGCAGTACTATTAAAATTACAGCAGCATATTTTTCTCTATATGATCCCCTATCCTGACCATTTTCTGTTCATTTTTACTCTTTAACTTGCAAAGATCATGTGCCTTTCACTTGTGCCCTTTTGTTAAAGATCATACAGTGCATGGCCCAAAGTATAACACAGGAATATCATGCCAGTTTAACACATTATAGTGCAAGCAGGCAAAGTAGTCCCTTTGTAACTTGCATGGGAAGCTGAGGAAGAGTGATCAGTAAAAGGGGAGACAAAATTGTGAGGAAGGTCAAACATATCTCTGGGTGCCCTGGATTTTGTTGCTTTAATTATCTGTCTAAACATTTCAGGAGTGCAGCTCTCTATGGGCTGAATTTCTAGCTCAAGGAAAAATCTCTGACTCCTCAGCAGTGTTTCACAAAAGAACTTGCATCACAGAACCTTCTACTCCCGAAAACCACATAATCTGTAATTGCAGTTTTTCTAAACTTTACCCAAACAAGTAAACAAAGCAGTCAGGGCAGAAGCTTCATCAATATACTATGGTTTTCCATATTTTTCTGTTTTCAGTATGGTTCCTGCCAATCCTGATCTGTGCCAGTCAGCCCTCTGCCAAAAAATCTTCAGGCACAGCTTGCAGGTGACACTTCAGTAAATAGTCTGGACACAATCACATTCCTGAGGTGGGGGAAATGAGACAAGTCCCTGGTCTCATCAATTTAATCCCCAAGGAGATAGCCCTAACATCCATGGGGTTTAGGGCAGTTGGAGGCAAAGACAAAAATGACACAAAAAGGAATTTAGGCCCAAATTTTCATTATGGGTCCATGAAACTCTGTCTACTTCAAGAAATAATTTTAAAAGGTCTGTGTGCCAAATGATTTCTCCCTGATACATTCTCATCCAGTCACTTGCTCTTCACTGGAAGGGAATATGTCACTTACCTGTCACCCCATGCTTCTTATGAGAGATTTATGATAAATTCTTCTCCTCTCTCCTTCCCACCAAAGGATTAATACACGGAAAACTTTTTCATTATTTTCAGGAGCAGTGAAGCATTAGACTTAGTTCAGAAAACAAGTATACATCAAGGGTCTGTATGGACTTTTCACTGGGGTGCATGAAATCAATAAAATCTCCTTTTCACTTGAGATATTGTGTATTTCAGCATTATAATCTTAGAATGGAAAACTATTCCCCATGGACTTGATGATCTTAGAGGTCTTTTCCAACCTTAATGATTCTGGGATTCTATAAGAAAGGTCAGAAAAAAGTTGTCTTGCAGGGAATGCAATTTTAAACCAAATTACATTTATTCACCTTTTATAATGGCCATGATTAATTATTATATTAATAATTCTGTATGTTCTTACCTCTCCCACAACTTCCAACCTGCTGGCATCATCAGAAGTACTGGTCAAGTTACCATGGTGAAGCAGGGAGTCATCATCTTTGGAAGGGCTGTTCACACCTTCTAATTCATCAAAAAAAATGTTGACATCCTTAGCTACTAAAAACAAAAATAACAACATACATTCAAATCACCATTGAACCAAATGAAGACATCAAGTGAAACACATTATCAATAAACTCACCTTTAATTTCTGGTACAAGTATATGCTATGCTAAGTTCAAAATCTGATGCTTTCTTCAGCAGTGAGCTGCATGAAGATTTAGGATGTCACAATACCTCTCTGATGCCAAATAAACAATCTTCTGTCACAGTAAAACATGTTAGCTATGTCCTCATCTTCTCTCGGGTTAAGTGGTTTAAATGATTACCTTCTGGATTAGTAAGGTCTCTGAAAATTACTTATTTTTTTTGTTATAAAGAAGCAGGTTTTTAACCTACTACATAAAGTATCAAGTTAGAAGTTGTGCAGACCTGTGGGGAAGCCAGAGTCAGAAGACCTTGCATAATTACCATTATTTGAAAGGCATTGAATAAATGATTCAGGGCAAAAGTTTCTCTTTGCACAATGTAACATGTTTTGATGCACATACATCTGGCACAGTCATATCTACCTACTGCACAGCCCTCAGTCATTCATGAAGAAACAGCTAAAATCTATAGAATGCTGTAATAAACCCAATCCTGATAAAACTGAAGAGATGTAATGGCCTGAAGCATGTTCCTCCATCCTGGGGATTGAGCAATGGTGCTTGGGACCAAGACAGAGCCAAAACAGCCAGGGGGTGGTTCCCTTCCCTCTGATGTCTGTGGGGAGAAGCCCCAGACAGCACAGCGGGGAGGCCTGGCCCAGCCACCCTCGGGCTGTGTCTGACTCCGGTTCTTCTCACGAGGCCCGACCTCGACATCAACCCACAGGCTGATATCCTGGCCCGGCCTTGACCCATCCCTTGCCCAAGGCTGGGTCTGGGATCTCAGGTCTTTTCTCTCACCCTCCCCCTAGGTCAGGTGGTGGGACAGACCTGGGCTGTCAGGCCCTGCCCTGCTACCCCCCATGGGGAACCTTCTATCCCGGCAGGAGGTATCTGCTTTGAGTAAATGGGTTGAATTTCCTCCACCTTTCATGCATTGCCATGTCATGTGACAATTTTACTCACATTTAATTAAAAAAACCCCAAATGCTAGAGGGAGCAAGTTCAAGACTGGCACTGTGCTCAAGATCAGAGCAGTGTCAGCTGTAGGGTGATGCTCCCTGCTCTGCTGAGCAAGGAGGTGACGAGGAGCTGTGGGCAGAGCTGCCGTGCAAGTCTACAGTTCCACACAAGGGCCATTGATCTGCTGAGTGAGCAGCTACTGGACGGGATGCACAGGGCGGGTGGGTAGTGGCCAGCAAGGTCCACTTTTGTGCCTCAGATGCTTCAGATCTGGCACAAAAGGGTGACACAGAGATGTGTGTGGGGAGAAGAAAAATGCCCTGGCTGAGGATCAAGCTTCAACTGTGAGTAGATTTCATCTCTCGCACCTCATGTCTCATATGCAGAATCCAGAATTACAACAGCAGAGTCACAACTGTTAGAAGGGACTCCTAAAGGTCAGCTACCAAGCCTCTACCCCTGACTAGATAAGGACCAAATATCTATTACTTTTAACAGAAATCTGTCTAACTCACTATGCCTCACTTTTTTGCAAACTTGACTGTCTTTTGGAATCATTCTTGTTTTGTACAATAACCTGCCGACCCTTTTGCTCCCCTAATTTAGTCACAGGCAATTGTAATTCCTGTTGATGAGAATTTATACTAGCAGGAAACAGCCAAAAATCTCCAATTGCTGGTGGCAGCTTTGTTTTATTTCCAACTACTGGCTGCAGGTAAAAATCCACTCCCTCACCGTGGAGAGACAGAATACCTGCCAAAAATTGAATGCCATTAAGTGTTCCCAAACATCATGATCATTTTGTGGCCTCCTTTTCACCTTTCCCATCTTCAGGGGCTATAGCCCAGTTTAAGAAACCTTTATAAAAAATCTCTGATGCTGCCAACTCCACAGTCCTTGCAGGTGGCCTATTTTTCAGTATCACAAGCAGGAGAAAGTTTTCTCTGTAATATTCATCCTGAATATGCACCTATGTTGCAATGTAAATATATTATTCTTGCCCTATCAATTATGAACATGGAGAAGAGATTGCTCCCTTTTTTTGCGTCTTTTACAGTATATGAAGTCTGTTATTACAGCTGTAGGTAAATAAAAAAGAAAACCCTATCAAAATATTCAAGAACTCTTCTTCATTTTCATGCATAAAATATGGACAAGTTTAATGACATACACTGTATTTTTCATTGCAATACTTTTGCTTAGAAAACCACTAAATATTTCAGAAACAACAGAAAAGTCTTCACATCCAAATTAATCCAGTCATATTAGGCTAACGAATTAATCTAAGCAGTATAATTTTTAATAGAGATTCTAAGTTTTTAATACTTTTAGTATATATCTTTTTATCTTATCTTTTTATCAGAAATTCTGTGCCAAATTAACAGGTTTTACCATAATAGAATATTTCTTGGGTTTATCAGATTTGGGGTTGCATACTGACTAATTGGATGTCAATATTAGTATTGCACAATATTTAATCCCTACATAACACTACATATTGTAATCAATCAGTTTTAGGTAGTAGCCCATATTCTGCAGGATCCCAACCAGCTTTTACAGAGATATTGGGAGTAATAGCTTCACCTATTTCATTCTCTTTTATATTGTACATGTGAACATATCAGAGATATATAACCTTTTTTTTTTTTTGCAGATAGTAAGTTTCTCTTGCCATTTTTAGGCTGGTTTTACTATCAGTCCCTTTATTTTACTTATCTTACTTCTGTGAAAAGTGCCAGGAAACTGTTAGAGACAAATATCCAGACAGGAGTTTTTCACCATAAAACCAGTCTTACTCTCACACCATCCTGCTTCCAGCTTGGGGTGAGCTTACTGACAGGGCTGGAGAAGAGCATCCTGGTATTTTGGTTTGTGTGATGGGGAGAGGCTGCAGCTCCTCAGTGTTACTGTGGCTGCATCCAACCCATCCTAGGACAATCAACAGAGTTTTTAGGTGACTTGGCAAAAAAAAAACTCCAATTTGTAGCACATGCGGCAGTAACATTAAAGAATTATTTGCCATCTTGATCCATTTCAATCCACTAAAACCATACTAGAGATGCCTATAAAAGACAGAGGAACCAATGCCAACACAGCAGTGTCTAACCACCTGCCTTTTATCGTCCCTACTGTTTCAAAGGGTAAGAATGGAAACATTCCACTCCACTAGATAATATCCAGATATAGATCATAATCAGCTTTTGCATACATGTTCATATGAGAAGAATTCATCTGAATACTTGACTGAAAGAGCTACTGAAACAGAAAACATTTTGAATGACTTGAAACTTTACTGGACTGAAACCCAGCAGAGTGCCTCCATGAGAACATGTGAAGCTGTACATGATCAACACCTCAGTATAGTCTGACAACAACTGGAAAATACAAAAAAAATATTAAATAGTGAAACTTTCTGAAGATTATGAAAGATATATATCTATTGCAGACAGAGACAAAGACAGATATAAAAAGAAAAGTTTTACCTGTAAGCTACATTTGAGGGAATGTGAACTAGCTTTTTCCTGCCATTAAAACTGCATTGGTATAAAATATGAGACCGTGGAGATACTAGAATTACTGCTTCCTGAAATGCTTTGGGTTGCAAAATATTTGAGGTTTAAGTGAGTGTTTTGAGATACACAACTTGATGTGTTAGAGAGTGAATGCATTTGGGGTCTCAAGCAGAAAACTACTGGATTACTCTGAGGATCTGTGAGGAATAAAAAAATCTTATTTCAAGGTAACTTACAAATACAGCACATCTCAGCAGTGACTAGAAGTTTTGGAAGAAGCGAATCTCAGCTGGTTAGTGAAATTAGCTACTAGGACCCATCCAGATTGCCTGTAGTAGAAAATTGCTTCTATCTGAAGTACACAGATAATTGCTATACTGGTTGGTAGCTTCAGCAAGTAAGCAGAGATGTGCTGAACTACCTTATCAGTGCTAAAGGTGTCTGTTACCTTTTCCTAGTTGCAGCAAAGGTGTGCTGCTGGTGAGAAAGTCAAACTCTTTACATTGTTGTTTGCCTTGCTGTGTACAGTTTTGAAAATACACTCTTAGCATTTCAGTCACTGACACTAAATGTGAGGCCCTAACATTTGCTGAGACCATTTTTCTACCCCAGGTTGCACTGGTCACTTAAAAAAATTAAGTCAAAAAATACTGTTCCACAAAACTAAATAAATAATTTTAAAAGCAATTACCATTTACTTTAATAATAGTGATGGTACTTCAAAGCCAACTCTCCTGATTCCTGTAGCTAGCTCAGCCACTCCACTTCATGGACACAAGCATCTAGCTACATGGCCAAATGTTGCTAAAAAGCATAATCAAGGCTCCATCTTTTCTGTTCTCTTCAAATCATGACATGCATATATCCACAAACAACCTTAACAAAATGGTATATGATAATTATATAATATTTATGCTTTTTGGGAGACAGATTGGTACTAGAGTGTAGCCATGTCTTTTTAAGCAGTGAAATTTAACAAGAAGACAGAACAGCACACACATTGCTACAAGTCATATTAAGAATTCCCCCTCTAGTTTTGATCAGCTTAAATATACAAACTCTTTTCTCCCCATCATGATCCATTTTGCAGGAAAAAAAAACAAAAACCAAACCAAAATTACTTGATAATTCAGAATCCCTTGAGGATCTGAAAAAAAAAAAGGTGGATATGCAAATATTTTTATCCCAAATATAGCAGAATTATATATTCTGAAAACTGAATGCTGGGAAATTCTGAGTAAAAGTCCATGCACAATCTCAGTGGGTCCACAAGACACTTTGGACCGAGAGGCTGATTTAGTCATTTAGTTATTTTAGTGTTTGTGTGGCAAGATGGAAGCATGCTCACAGATCATGTTTCTGTTAATTAAGTTTCATTTTATTACAAATAGTTACATCAAGCCATTGAGTATACTCTAGCTTTGGATAATGCAAGCTGAAGATTATAATTCCAAAATATGCTCTTTGGAAGCTTCTAGGCCTATCAGTAACATTGAAAAGTGAATTTTCCTTAAAAAATCGTACTAGTAATATTTATAGTAAGTGTAGAGGATTTCTACAGGTTAACAATGGTAGAAAAAACTATTTGGCTTAAAAGCATCAATATTGGAGAACAGCAAAAAACGCTGCTACTTTAGTAAGTGCAGTCTCTTAGAAGAGACTGAGCTGAAAGGTAAAATCACTCAACAGAATTGGTTCTGTTTAGCTCAAACCAGGATGTCCATAATAAAAATACTGAATAGAAAACACCTCTTTAGCAGAAATTTGAAAAGTAGAAAAGTTTAAGTATGAAACACCAAGAACCTCTCTGCCTCTTGTACTACATGCTATGTTTCTGTAATAGCATACATGTATGGTTTTGGGTATTTGGATACAAACACTTTTCTGCACTCAGTAAAGCTGGCAGATACAAGGAGGCCATCCTATAGATACCATGCAGCCCAGAACTTATTATCATGTTAAATGATAAATTCAGTGACTACACAGCAGATCAGCAGGGAGGATGTCTTCCACTGGTGTTAACAATAGTATTTCCTCTAGCACAAATCTTGAGATCATTCTGCGGTTGGATTTAAGAAGGGTGGACCGATCAATTCCCAGTCCACAGCACATTACATGTGAAAAGAGACAGCTTCACACAGTATCTAAGAAATACAGACCTTCAGTAGTTTTGATAAACTCATCACTTCTGCTCCCAAAAATTACTAGCTGCAAAAATCTGAATATATCCCAACATTTTAGAACAGCTAGAACTTCAAATCCAGTCTTAAAACCCAGAGTGCAGCATCTGCACAGCATTATTAGTTCACAGAGCCATTCAAGAATGTAAGAATGGATTAAAGCAATAGGAATCAAAATATTTCAGATTATTTCTGAATAGGAAATATATGCTGCTGGAATCCTTAGCCACATAATAATCTTACTATGATGTCTCTGATAGGAGATTTCTTACCGGCTTTCAATAACCCATTGAAATCTCTCAAGAGATTTTACTAATGCATACTTGCTTATCATTCCTTTCATCACTTTGTTCCTTCAGTTATAATTTCAATGCATCTCAATTGATTCTTCTACTATAAAATCAAATTTTGCATCCAAGGAATAACTTACTTTCTTGTATTGCATTAAGAATTTCTGAAAAGTCCACATCTGTCTTCTGTATGTCTGGTTTTATCCATATTTGCGTTTCCAGCCGGTTAACCTGCAAATCCTCTCTTCCTTCTGAAGAAATTGAAGAGATTGATGGGGTTTGTGACAGTGCAGTAGAAAATCCAGCTGAGGGGCTTTCAGATGAGGGCACATACACATTGAATAAAGCTACTTAACTTTTTTCCCCTTAGTAGAACCAATTTTTCTTCAAAAAGCTTTAGGTAGAACATGGATTGATTTAAAGCTACACAGAATGAAAACATTATTCTCTGCTATCAGCAATGATGCAGAATCACCACTGGCAAGTCCCTTGTCAAGGTGAACACGTGCCACCCTTCCATGAGCATCTGCTGATCACACCCTCTACAAAACTAACTCCAAAATGTGAAAACGGATGAGAGGTGTTACACATGACACAGCACTACAGGACCAACCAGACTAAAACAAAACACACTAACACACAAGGGATGAATTGTCTCAAGACAAAAAAACAACCATTAGGAAAAGAAGAGCACGGACAGCATGTTTTGGCCACAGAGCACCATAAGTTCTCAGATGCCAAGCTGATGGCATGCCATGGTCTAAGGAAGCTCTCCAGGACTGCAGTCCTTTTTGAAGAAGGTCACTCTGCTATGTACAGGTTGCTGTTTAAAATTAAAAGCACCACAGAATGAAAACATAGGCCAGTGGCTCACAGCTTCAAATCTATTTGCATGTGTAAACAGGCACAGTGTTTGTGCATTTCAGTGTTCTTTCAACGTGAGCAAAGAAAGCGAAGAGGTTTTGAAAACAAACCCATTCCACGCAAGAGAAAGGTAGCTAGCTGCACATCAAGAGTAGACAGGAAAAGGTACCGGGCAAATGGACTTAGGCTGCTGGCTACAGGGTACTTAGATACAGCCAGAGAGAAATAGGGAGCTACTGGGCATAAGGCTGTTTTTTAAAGAGTGACATCCATACCTTTCACTAAAGCATCTGTTAGAGATGACCCTCTTGAGTAACTAACACACAGAGTTAGCAGAGAGCTGCAGCAGTCAGGGAGATGTCTGGGAAAGGACATCACAACAAAGAGGCCATGGTGGAAGAAGAAAATGTGACGTCATTTAGTCCATTACTGTGCCTTCACTAGAAGCTATCCCTCATGCTTTTGACAGATGCATTTTCTTCTATTCTACAGTCTGCCTCTAACAAACTTGTTTTGAATTTCCTTCTAGCCCATTACATCTTCCCCCTCCCATGATCAGTACTATATTCCCTGGCACAAAATTACTCAAGACTATTTTAAAGACCCTTCTTTACTCTTTTGGAAATACAGATCTCAAAATACATACACCAGCTTCAGCCTTTTATTATTTCCTGATGATAAAATATTATAAATTCAAACCATCTCATGTTCACCCCAGTGTATTCTTTTGTTCCATAGCAAAGACACACTGTTAACATCAGAGACAGCTCTCCTTGCAGATTCCTGTAAAGTGATCTGTCATAGCAACAGCAGGAGTCAGCATTTAATGATGTAGAACAAAGAGAATTTCTTAAGTGAAACAGCTGATTATTCATATAATAGCAGCCTAGGGAATTCTGCAGATGGCCTCAGAGATGGGACACTAGGATTCGCCCCAGAAGAGAATTCTATGGACCAAGAAAAAATCCTGTAGCTGCTGGAAAAGATCCATAAACAATAGAATGAAAGTAGAGAAGTAAGCAGTGGACAGTATTTCAGTTAAGCAGCTTTGCAAGTGATATGACTCAATTTCTTGTTAAATATTCAGCTACCACTTTCAGCATATACCACTATATTTGCATCCTGAAATCCACCAGCCTTTCTTCTCCATTCCAACTCTAGTTAGAGCAAATTAACAACAATACTGACAAATATAATATAATCCCTCTTTGGCCAAACCTGACATACTTCTGACGCCCGAGTCATTGCTCCTCAAAACACAAGAAGGTAGCAGGATCCCTGCAGCACCTCCAACAGATCTGAGCTAATTGGGTCAGGGAGAGAGGAACAGACAGCCAGCAATGGAGATCCTGAAGTGCTGGTATCTGATGCGTTATCTAACCACAGGGCTCTTCATGAAACGAAGCTGCTAGAGAATGTACATGTTCAATTTCAAAGCCACTTTTTAATTAATAAAGAATACCGTCTAGAAAGTGGTCAGAAAAAGTCCAGCCTAAACCTGACTATTCTTCAGCCTGCGAAGCCAAGACAAGTTTTGCCGCATTCAAATCTCATCTCCACTATTTGACCCCTTTGCAGTATGGGGTCCTTCCAGAGATCCACACATGTTGCAGTCTTTTATGCCTCTCTGATTCACAGTAGCTTTAACTTCTGGCATCATTGCACAAGTGTCAGCTCGACAACATCATCCAGTCTGATTTCACTCAAAATTGTAGGCATAAACTTTAACCAATCATTTGTGATATTATAGGATCACAGAACGGTTAAGGTTGGAAGGAAAGGACCTTGAAGATCATCCAGTTCCAACCTCCCTGCTGTGGGGGTTGGAATACTAATACACAGCTAATCACAAACTTGCCTTCACTGACACACAAAAAAAGGAAATCTATCTGCCAGCAACATGGCTTTTAAATAAGTGGATGCAGGAATATTCTCTTCTCCCATGATCTTCCTGGTGTCAATAAATAGACTTGAATCAGGGCACATTTGCTTTTACGCTCCTCCCCCTCTGTCAGCACTCGCTTTGAAGGAGGGAGTTAACTGAAACAACCCCTACGTGATGGGTTGTCAACTGGCCAAATTAATGATTACCGATTTGTGGTTGGACAGAGGTTTTAGCCTGGCGGTTCTTTGGAAAAAGCCACAGTGTTGTCTCTCATGTCCCAAAGAGATTTATTTTCTGTGTCTTACCACAGATCTCCAATACTACAAACCAAGATAGTATCTGCTGTCATTGTTGATATTGAGGGATCACTAACACAGCTTCAGCATTTCCTTCTTGCTCTAGCATCTGTTGATTTAGGTTTTATCAGTGACGTGTCCCACTGAGCAAACTCTAAGCAATATTGTCTGGGAGGCTGTGTGGGAAAGACCCTTTTTCCACAGAAACATGAGAAATAAAGAAACACAGATGAAAGTGAAGCAAATATTAGTTTTATCAGATTTTATGTGATTTTACTAAAAGATCAGTCTGAGATTTTTCTCAACTCACTGAGATGCTTTAGTTCAAGTGAAGTCATATTTTAAATTAGCTCATGGCATTCACTCTGGTTTACTCACTGATGCATAAAGTAGTGCACTTTTTCCTTTCTTTGTTTTGAAGGGTCTCTACTAATTAGGTTATAAGAACAAATAAGATATTAAAAAAGCATTTCAGTTTCAGAGGCTAAATGACATGGTTCGTTATAAACTAGAATTTTAACGCACTTCTAAATATTAAAATTATCACCTGTATCAGAGAAGTGAATTACGTAGCAAGGTACTTAATATGATACTAATGTTAAACAAGATCATTCCCACTGCAGTAAGAGAGATTTTGTGTATGCTAAGAAATAAGAACACACTCAGGGATTTTGACAGATGAGGCCTCATATCTAATATCTAACCAATTATCACAATTGCCTTTTCAGACATGAACTTTCCAAGCTAAAGTCTCTTTTCTTGCACAGTAAACATCAGGAACCAGATTTTGAAAGCCTGTGCATTTTTATACATGAACTATCATGTGCAAATCGTATTTGTAGATGGACCCTCGCACGTTGTGATCTGAAATTGAGCACAAGCACTTAGATGCACAGAAAAATGCACACAGTTTCAGTATTGTGCACCAAAATAAAGGATATAAAACTGAGGAAACAAGTGCTGCTACTTCTCAATGCACAGGGAGAAAGAAGGAAATTCTATATCATATTTTTGCATAAGAAATCCTATATGTGGCACTTCAGGAGATGGTTTAGTGTTACGGTGGTGTAGGGCTGTAGGTTGGACTTGATCTTCAGGTCCTCTCCAATCTTTATAGTTCTATGATTCTATATCATATCCTTTTTTGTTCCTCACCAATCAGTAAAGTATTGTAATATTCTTTCTGCCTAAGCATTTTTTCTCTCCCGCAGCATGAACAGAACGCCATTGATACTCTGTGCATCAGTATTACTGCAGTGTTTATATTAGATATATCTTCATATGTTAAAATTATTTAATTTCTTGTTGCTGCTCTTAAAACTATCAGGTACAATAGTACAGAGTTTCACACTGGAAAAAAATTGTTGATAAGACAAAATACCACATAAAAATTAGAGAGAAGAAACTGAGGAATAAAGAAATAGAGTTGTAGGAGAAGGAAATAATTAGGTATTTTTAAAATACATGTGACCAACACCCACATTTTGAAACCAAAATCAATTTTAATTTATGGGTCTGTAATTACAGAGGTCCAAAATTTAGTATTAGCAGCACCATTTGATTTCCTACTGGTCAGCTTCAAATTAAACATGAAACATTCGTTCCTCTTGCCTAACTCTAGTGTAGATATTGCATTTCTCAATGGAAATAAAAGAAAGGAAACAAAGAAGAGGACATTTCAGAGTTTTCATACAACTCTTTTATCCAGTTTGTGGGGTTTGTCCTCTCCATGTGCATCTAAGACATTTCCTAGAAGTACAGGCTGAGTTCATGCAGAAATGAGTTTTGTGTCGTGAAGGATAACTTTTTCAGTGTTTCCTTTCCTCTTGAGAATAAAAAAAAAAGATGCAATATTAGTGTTTTTCAAGATCTGTTTTTCTTCTCCCAACGAGGATTTAAGAGAAAGAAACTTTGGAAATATCAAAAGGTGTTTTGGGCAGTCAGGCTATCACTGATGACCTGCAGGCCACCAGTGTGCAGGGCAGTGACACTGGTGAGTCCTGCTCACCTTTCTCCTGCGGTCCTTGCTTCCCGCATGAACTCTACTCACACACTGAGGCCTCGCTCCCAGTTGAGCCAGTGCCTACCAGCGAGGTGGCTGCTGATGCAGCCGTACAGGATGGAAGTTCCCTCAGACCTGCATGGTTTCTCATCAAAAGCCTCACTTCAGTCAGGGCAAAGGCTGCATGTCCTCTTTCCACAAGTA